GATCATATGGAAGGGCTTAAAAATACTGGCCTAGGAATATTACGACCCACTCCATGGCCAAAAGTATGTGGACACCCGATTACTGCAAATTTATTAGACTGTTGAACATCTCATTCCAAAAATATGGGCATTATTATGCTGTTTTAACAGTGTCTGGTCCTCTGTGACAGCCTTTCATAAGATTTTGGAACCTGGCTGCAAGAATTTCATCCATAAGAACATTAGTAAGGTCAACAGTGGTGGAGGACTACCATCTTTAATTAAATAAAAGCACCAATACAATTATGTAAAAATTCTCCATTACAAGTAAACGTTCAGTATTCAAAATCCTACTTAAGTACAAAAGCAGTCTCATCGTATCATCGCCCAAATATACATAAAGGGAAAGTTCATCCCAGGGTGGGTGAGCTGCCCTCTTGAATGATGAAAATGAGCGGATGTGCCCTTTTGGCTACTCTCTTGTCCCCATGTCATGCAGTAGCCTAGGTGCCCTTTTTTCCTTTTCACCCCTGCCCTTCAAACATCCTGAGTCCATTACTGGTCATAGGGATGTCTGCCTTCTCTCGATTACAATGGAAGTAGATGGCACTCAGCTTGTGGTGCTCAAAGCGCCAAAAAAGTACATTTGAAAAACTCAACAGCAGTGTCTCTTTCCAAAAATCATGACCCAGTTACTCAAGATAATCCACAGACCTTGTTGTGAGCAGTTCCATGTAGGAACTATTTTCTTTCTACTGAAGAGAGAGAGAATAGTTCCTACATGAAACTGCTCTCAAAAGGTCTGTGGATTATCTTGAGTAACTGGGTCATGATTTTTGGAAAGAGACATTGCTGTTGAGTTTTTCAAACTTTTTTTGTGGTGTTTGAGCGCCACAAGCTGAGTGCCATTTAGTTACATTATATTCAAGAGAAGGTAGTCATCTCAACATCTGATATTTCCATCACACGGCAGTTCACACCAAAACAATCTATACTGATGAGTAGCACCACAGGTAAGAGGAAAAATATGTATTTTAATTTGGGGGTGAACTGTCCCTTTAAAGTAACATAAGTAAATGTACTCTAGTTGGCTGAAGTGAAGCTATTTAGGTACAGTCAAGTTATGTAGTCCAGTGGTTCACAACCTTTTTTTTTTAATTTTGTGTCATGCACACTTACGTACATGTGTTGCAGTAAAAATCCAAAGTACATGTTATTTCAGTCCAGAAACAAAATACTCTAGCAAGGAAATTCAGCCACAAAAGGGGGTTCTGGGATGATTGCAGAGGTAGGAAAGAAGAAAACAGAAAGTTCTGCAACACAAATGTGTATCAGTGGTTTTGATTTTTCTCTGTTCTTTGCTTTGCTTGTGATAGACTGGATAATGTGACCTTTTTATACTTTAAATGAAGCTATATGAGGAGTTAAGAGTAAAGAAAGTGTGTGATAGAACTGCCAACATATAGATGCCATTACAAGGGGTCCTAACTGCTTTTATTGGAAGAGGTCATAAACCAAAAGTTGGTTAAATCTTTATATTTTACAAGATCATCAGAAAGCTGTCACTTTGTGTTGAAAAGTGGTGGGGACGTTAGGGCTCAGATTAGAAAACATTTGTCTTCAAAATACTGGTATGGAATCTTAGGCAATGTAATGCGCAACAGGTATAAGGTAAAATAGATAATTATGGCAAGTTGGGGAAAACAACGGCACACAGTTTGATATAATCAGTGTCACTTGCGTCACTTGTTGTCAAGCTAGTTGCTGTCTCTGTCAAGTAGCTGTCCATTAGTCACTCACGTTACATCAGGAAACAGCACTTTAGAATAAAAGCTCTGTGCACTGCATATGAAAATAAAGTGTGTTTTTTACAAACTTGACATGTTTTCAAGTCACTTGTGGTCCATTCAGAATGGACTGGTGATCTAGTGGTTTGGATTCAGCTCTCTCACCACTCAAGTGTGTTCAATTCCCAGTCAGGGAACTAATGTTTTGGGCGGCAGTAGCTCAGTCCATAGGGACTTGGGTTGGGAACCGGAGGGTTGCGTGTTCGAGTCCCCGTCCAGACCAAAAATAGAGCGTGGACTGGTGGCTGGAGAGGTGCCGGATCACCTCGTGGGCACTGCTGAGATGCCCTTGGGCAAGGTAACCCCCAACCACTCGTGGCGCCTGTCCATGGCAGCCCCCTCACTCTGACATCTCTCCACTTTGTGCATGTGTGTGTATTTTGGACCTGTGTGTTAATGACAACAGGGTGAAAAAATTGAATTCCCCCTCAGGGAGATTAATAAAGTATATAAAATTAAATTAAAAAAGACTTGCAACCCACTGTTGGACCACAACCCACTGGTTGGGAACCACTGGCCCAGGCTATCATAGGTTTTTTCTATATAAGATCTTTATCTGCAAGGTAACCACAGTGGTCAGATAAATCTAGTGGCAGGGTAGTGGATTGGAAGTATAAAGTAGCATAAAATGTATATACTCAGGTAATGTTCAAGTAGCTGAAAAGTATACTTAAAGGAACAGTGTGTAAAATTTAAGGGGATTTACTGGCAGATTGCAACCAACTGAAACTTCTCCTGGTAAGGATTAATTCAGTGTTCATTGTTTTTATTGGGAGCCCACTTATCCAAAGAGGTCTCGTCCTCTCCAAAACAAACAAACCAGGTGATTAAAACTGGTAAAAACACTGAATAATGCAGTTTTATGCTACAAATCAGGGTTTCGCTGATGCTGTCCAGCTTGTTGCAGATGGCCTGCTTGCCCGGCACCTGCAAATGTGCTCACCCGTTATCTCAGATTTCTCAGAGAGCCAAATTATCCACAGAGATCTCTTCCTCTCCAAAACAAATGGACCTAGTGTATTTCATGTTAAAAAGTCTGTGTTTTTGCGACAGTGGTCATTGCAGAGGAGCTGCTAGCTATGGTGGCAAACACGAAAACATGGATGACCCTATCTACAGCCAGTATTTGTTTTGTCCCTTCTGGGCTACTGTAGAAACATGACAGTGCAACATGAGGATGTCGAGGACCTGCTCCATCTGTAGATGGAAAGGAAACACGATGAAACTTAGAGGAAAACATATTTATTTTATTACATTTCATTTCTGCCAATATATCCCCCTAAATCTTACACACTGGACCTTTAAGTACAGTGCTTGAGTAAATCTATTTGTCACTTGCCATCAGATGTTGAGCGATGACGGCCTGGCTTATTGTCGGCATTCCAGTTCATGTCAGAGGTGTTGGATGGGGTTGAGTTGAGAGACAGGCCACATATCTTTGGCCATGTAGTAATTATATTCTGCTATATGAGACTTTCCATATTACTCTTCCTTCACTTGTTGACAGCATTAATGAAATTCATTAGTGATGGAAGAGTCCCTGAAATATGAGCTTTAATTATACTTACGTAATTTCTGCAACAGTCCTTCATCCCTCATTTATTCAAAATCAGGATATTAAAAGAAATTAGTTTCCCTGACAGATTCAATCGACAGTGTTAACACACACACACACACACACACACACACACACACACACACACACACACACACTCTAGAGTTTCCCATGTCACTTCAAGGATAACTTGAACTAACTTTGCAGAGTAGAGTGAGAGAAAGAGAATTGTCCAGATAACTTTTTATAATGTGTCCCACTCAAGGGTGTTGTTTTATATAATCTGACTCCACACTGACTCTGCACGTCACAGAGGATGAGTGACGGATGTAAACATCAAAGTGGCCAAAGTCAAGGCTGCAAGTCTCAAAAGTATGGTGAGTCATGCCTGTACTGCTACGTAACAACACCCCTGTGAGTTTGTATGTTTGTATTGTGTGTGTGTAGTGTGTCAGCAGCGGTGGGCTCAGCATCGTCCTGCTCCTCTGCTGCCGTTCATGAGCACAGACCTATTCTGGTCCCCTCCTCTGTTATGGCAGAGAAATATGGGCTGACACAACAGTGAGTTCTACAAAGGCCCAGCTGGCAGGCTTTGTTATGCAAGCATATTACAGCACTGTTCCTGTCGGTGCATTACAGGAATAATCCACCCAAAAACATGTTAATACTGTCACTAAAACAGCTATTGGCGCCGTACCCTGTATTTCTGGGCCCATTTTATTGTTTGATGATTGTGTCTTATTGCTGCAGTTAACAGCACGTGGGTTGGTGTTTGACTGGTGTGAGTTTTTCGTGAGTCTGATACTGTTATCATTGCGCTGATGCATCCATAAGACAGCTATTTTTGGCAGGTCATAACCAGATATGATATTAAAGATCTTAAAATGTGGTGTTTAATGCCAAAATATTGTAAGATTTTCCTTTGTTCGGGAAGAAAAAACCACTAAAACAGAATTTAGGCTTGCGGTGTTTCTTTTTTTTTTTTCTTACCAAATAAATTATGTATACTGCACTACTAACCATTCTCCAAAGTGGTTCAAACTTTATTTGAGTATGTCCTGAAATCAACGTGACATTATCATTCTGTTTGAATGCATCTGAGAGCAGAGACTGTTTTTTCCTAACATAACTGGTGCATTCACACACTTATGGGAAAATCTGACATCAAATTGTTGTGTGTTTGGGAAGTCGAAACTGGAGAGGCAAACAAAAAGGAGTGCATGAATTTGGGTCTGGTGTGCAGTCAACTCTCAAATCTCACAAAAAATGCAGGAAATTCTCAACAAGGAGGAGTTTCATTTTTATGACAATGTGGAAAAGATATTTACGAAGAAATAAAGCAAAAAAAAACACTGAAATCATTGTGAATTGTTTGCATATTAAATAAGCCATCAGCAACTGAATTTGTGTAAAAGCATAATGAAGTTGATACAGCGGAATTTGACATCAGTAGATATAAAACAGTTGAAAGGTTTTGGTTTTAATGCCTGTCTTTAACCCGCTGTAATCCTCCACACCACTGGGTGGCGCCGGGTCTTAAACGTCACGCCAACTGTGACGTTCTCGTTTGTTTTTACTGTCACGTGACCGGATGTGCAACTTCAAAACATTGACTAACAGCTGCAAGTGGACTTGTAGTGTCTGTCTCACAATGATTTTTGTGGATTATAGCTAACTTTTATCGCCGGGAGTAAAAGAAAAGTTGTTGGTTGTAGTGCTCGCGTGCCTCCGAGATGGCGGGCCCGCTGCTGGAGTTTGAGACTGAGATGTTTCTGAGTCTGTTCGGTAGTGACGGGCTGCTGGTCGTGGCGGAGGGGATGGGGATAGACCGCATCCTGCTGCAGTTCATGCGGGTCTACTCGGAGCAGGACAGCCTGGTCCTTCTGCTCAACACCACCACACCTGAACAGGTGAGGGAAACAGCGTTAGCTTGACGCTAGCTTACATGTCTGTGTTAAACTCCTGATAACTTGACCGTTGCTAACCAGGCGACGTGTGGCAGCAAGGAGGCTAATATGAATAACGTTACAAATATAAACTGTTTAGTTCCTCGAGATGTAAAGAAGCCTTGTAGATAGCGTGATTTACAGAAATATATCTGTTTGAAAATAATCCGTAATCACTAAGTCCTATCGTTTTATTTATTTCTTTTTGTTTTATTTTACTTGGCGCATATTACTCTTTCTTAGCTCCTTTTGCCCAGTGTTATATAGCCTTTAAACTGTTTTAAATTGTTTTTATCATTTTCTACTAGGGAAGCATGATATTGTTTTTTGTTGGCCGATATCCGATATACCGATATATAACAACTCATTTGGCCAGTACCTGATACAGATATGGATATATCCACTTTTTTCCCCACTTAATTTTCGTACTCATTAGGGCTCTTCTGTAATGAAATTATTGCATGCATACTGGTATCATAATGGCCCACCAGCAGATGGAGACATGAAATACAATACTTTTCAACATGTGTAATATTCATTCATTGTGAAAATTTGCAATTCTGATAGTTCATTTTAAAGCCGATAATGGCCAATACTGATGATGTACCGATGTTATCGTGCATCCCTATTTTTTTTCCATTTATTTTGGTAAAGCACTTTGTAACTTTGTTTTGAAAAGCAGTAAAGCACCTCATAAAATCACATTTGTTATTACTATTAGTAGTAGTGGTAGTATTTTGATTTGTTAAAGCAGGAAAAGCACAGGTGGAATTAATAACATTATTGATGGCTGCATTCCATTCAGTTGAGCCAGTCTCAGGGGTCTGATAGTGTCCACGCTCACTCACTGTTATGACTTACTGGGACACATAGCTAATGTAATGGATCCATCATTAATGTTGTTATTTATATCTGTGCTTTTCCTGCTTTTCCATGCTCTTAATGGGGTTTATACAGTAGAGCTGCAACGCTTAGTCAATAAATCGATTATTTGATGGACAGAAAATCACTTGGGAACTGTTTTGATCATCAGAATCAGAACGCCTTTTATTATCAATGTATTATTAAAAAACAAAATGAAGTTAGGAGTGCTACTCCTGTAAGGTGCTGCAGTTAAAAACCATATCCTTAATACATCCAATTATCCAATTCGTGTAATACTAAGTAATAAACAGTAAGTGTAATAGGTTAAAAAAAAAAAAAAAAAAAACTACACATAGTATGTTTCTGACTGTTGCACAGTTAATCATTTATGTAATTTTTCAAACAAAAATGCCAAAAATGTGACATGTCCGGGTTCTCAAATGTGAGGATTTGCTGCTTTCTTTAATCTTACATTATAGTCAATTCAATATATGTAGGTTTGAAATGTTGGTTGGACAAAACATGACATTTGATGAGGTCACTTTAAGCTCTAGTATATTGTAACAAGCTGTTTTCACTGTTTTCTAATGTATTGTAGATCAAACAATGAATCCAGAAAATAATCTACAGATTATTCAGTAGCAAACATAATTGTGAGTTGCAGCCCTACAGTACTGTTGAGCATTACATAGCCTATATGTCATAATTAACTACACTACTGTAATACAGCACTCAGTGCTTTTAGTTTCGGCTGCCTTCCCGTGTCTGATTCTTTTATAAATTTCTGGGGCATTATTGTCACACCTCATAGAGGGAGCAGCCAGTGGCCTGTTGCACTGTGGCATCAAAACATTTTCATTTTATGCTTTTACTTTATGAAGCTGTAGTCCCACATGCCCTGCCCTTTTTTCACAGTGTGATGGACTGGCTGAAGTAAGCAAGGAGACCTTACAGAGACATAATATTGACAGTCTTGCATGACTCTGGAGTATCAAAGTTCAGAGTTTCACTGCTACATCTTGCTGCATCCAGTGTGTAAAGGTACTTAGAGCAGGTTTAACAAAAGTCTTTCTTTCTTGTCCTCCCTTCACAGGAGTATTTCACAGAGCAGTTGCGAGCGGAGGGTGTGACCCATCTGCCCAGGACAGTGACCAGTGACGTCAATAGCACGGAGCGCTATAATGTTTACACTGAGGGAGGAGTGCTGTTTGTCACCAGCCGGATCCTGGTGGTCGACTTCCTCACTGATCGCATCCCTGCTCACCTCATATCAGGTCAGACGACTACCGGATCATGGCTAAAATGACTATATAGTGTGGTTTTATTTCATCACCAACAATTATTAGTTTCATTTACTTAAAGAAGAACATTTGATTGTGTACTTTGTATTTGTATTCTGCAATTTTATGTCAGTTATTACAAAAACCTTTACACCTAACATCTTTTAACATTTGATTAGTTGGCTTGGACCTGGTTAAGAACATTTCAGTGCTAACAGTCACTCAGTGTGGTCTCAGTGCCAAACAAAAACCCAGACTAACATGCACAGACTATGTTTGCACATCACTCCCGCAGGCATCCTGGTGTATCGTGCCCATAAAATCATCGAGTCGTGTCAGGAGGCCTTCATCCTCCGCCTGTTCAGACAGAAGAACAAGACCGGCTTCATTAAAGCCTTCACCGACAAGGCCACGTCCTTCTCCTCTGGTTTCTGCCAGGTGGAGCGTGTGATGAGGAACCTCTTTGTCAAGAAGCTCTACCTGTGGCCCAGGTTTGACAGAACATAAGACATTTTTCACAGCAGACATTTAGACCTGCCACAGCAGGAAAAGCACATCTGTAATTTAATAGAGACTGCATTCTTCCCTCATTCTTCTTTGCCTTTGCTCTCTTAACCTGCTTCATTCAACAGGTTTCAAGCATCAGTAAACTCAGCGCTGGACAGTCACAAGCCAGAGGTTGTGGAGCTCCATGTTTCATTGACGCCGGCTATGAGGGCCATCCAGAGCTCCATACTGGACATAATGAGCGCCTGTCTGAAGGAGCTGAAGCGCTACAACCCCACCCTGGAGGCAGAGGACCTCTCCCTGGAGAACACGTTAGGCAACGCTTTTGAAAAGGTCTGTCACTGTGTTAATGACATCGATTAAGCTGCTTTGGTGTGGAATTTTATTCTGAAATAAAAAATTTGCTTGTTTTTATTCCCAGACCATCCGTCACTATCTGGACCCTTTGTGGCACCAGCTGGGAGCAAAGACCAAGGCCCTGGTCCAGGACCTGAAAGTGCTGAGGGTTCTCCTGCTCTACCTCACCCAGTACGACTGTGTCACCTTCCTCAATCTGCTGGAGTCGCTGCGCTCTAGCCAAAAGATCTTCGGATCCAACTCAGGTAAACAAGATCTTACTTGGAAGAACTTTGGGGTAAGAAAAATATTTTTTATGATTAATCACCTTTATCCATGTCTGATTGTATCGCGCCTGTTGTTGTGACCATCAGGGTGGTTGTTCCTCGACTCCAGCACCTCCATGTTCATGAATGCCAGAGTTCGAGTGTACCGCTACCCTGAGAGCAAGAAGAAACTCAAAGTGGGAGCAGAGGCAGAGAAACAGAAGTCCTCCTCTGCTTCAGGTAACTGACCAACAAACTGATCTCTGACAACATGTTCTTCAGAGTAGATAACAGCAACGTTATCTGCTTGTATGTGTATTGATGTAAAATGACTAAAGGTTGGTGTATGTGTGTGTTTCAGAGTTGAAGCGGGAGCTGGTGTTGGAGAAGAGCCCAAAGTGGGAGGCTCTGACTGAGGTACTGCAGGAGATTGAGAAGGAGAACAAGAGCCCTCAGCATGAACCAGGTCAGAGCTCAGTTCTGTTAAAGCGCTGCAGGGGTCCATCATGTTCACAGTGTCATCTCTAATCTATGGATTTGCATATAATGGACTGTATTAACAAAATAGAAACTACCTTTTAGTTTCCAAAAGGTGGTTTTGTCGTCCATTGAAACGACCTCAATCTGCATAGGTGAAGCATATAAGAAGATTAAGTCTGCAAATTGAATTAAATCTTAAACAAAGCTGGCATTTCCCAGTCATCCTTAACTTGTGCTGATTAATCCTGGCCCACTGCCTTGTGCTACTGTTACTGCTACTGCTACTGCTACTGACTTAATCAAACATATGTTACATGTGATACTTGCAGTACATACAGTGAAGGAGAACTAGTCCCCTCGAATTTTGAGAGTTTACCAACTATGGGATAGGGCTTTCTTTCAGCAGATATTTTTGCTTGTCATATCAGAACAAGGTTGAACTACTAAGATCAGCGATGGCTGCATTCCACTTACTTGTATCAGTAAGCCAAATCACTGGACAACAACAACCGTGATGGCCACATGACCAGTCATAAAAATCCAGTGCTTCAAATTCAAAAAGAAACTATGACCAAACAATACATTTCCATAACACAAAAAAACTTATTATGGTGGATACAATATTCTCTGTCTTAGTTTTGGTGCATTAGGCTTTCTATTAATCTTGCTAAAGAGCCAACACAACACAATACCTTCAGAAAACCAAAACAAATAGGGGTTGCTCAACTCATTTTTTTTTTAAATAACTAACAAATGTTTCCTCAAGTCAGTGTACACAGGGCAGTGGAACACAAAATGACAATCATCCTCACCAGCACCAAGGTCACAAAAAAACATAAACAGGTTTTATTTTATTTAAGGTTCAGTGTAGTAATCCTCTTTGCTTTGAACATGGTTTCTGAGCTTTGGCTTCTTCCAAATCTCAACCTTCCACTGTTCCTAATGTATCCTTAGTTGTTTTTCTTTGATCTTACTCATGTTATGTTGCAAATTATTGCTGAAAATAAAAAGGTAAATCAGAGAAGTTGAAACAGTTAGCTAAAACTGATGGAAGTCTCTGAGGATACAGGCTTGTCTCACAATGGAACATTAAGGCCCTGATCACACAGAAAGCGTTTCAGCAGCTGGAGGCGGCCTGGGAAATTGTTTTTAATGAGAATGAAGCTTTTTGCTTGCGGCGCCTTGCTGACATCTTTGCCGGAGCGCTCTGAACTCCTTGAGTTGTGGTCATGACAACAAGTATCACAGAAAAGTTTGGAACCGCTGTAGTAAGCCATGTGAGTCAGCGTGAATGCATCACTATTAGTTGCCAGAAGGATGCACACACTCACCTAACCTTGACATGTGCGTGTGTATCTGTCTAACTGTCGAACATGTTGCCCCCAGGTCGTGTGCTAATCTGTGCCAGTGATGACAGGACGTGTGCCCAGCTGCAGCAGTACATCAGGCACGGCTCTGACTGGATGCTTAACCGACTTTATGCCCGCACAATTGGTAAAAGTGACTCTGCGGCAGCTGCAGCTGCTGCCTTTGAACTCGACACACAGAAGAAGGGCAACGGCTGGCCTAAAAAAGGAGCCAAGGGGAAGGAGCCTGCACAGAAAAAAAAGCCCACAAAGAGTAAAAAAAGGCCCTCCCTGACCCTGACCCAGATGATGGGGAAAGAGGAGACAGGTGAAGCAGCCGTGATGGGCAGCAGTGGAGATGAGGATGAACTGATGGGGGAGGATGGAGAGGAGGAAGAACAGCTGCAGCTGGATTTGTCATCAGATGCCTACTATGGTGTCCTGAAGGAGCCTCTGACTGTTATTCACCCACTTAAAGGCCTCACTGACCCACACAGCTTGACGCGAGTGCTGCATGAGGTGGAGCCCAGCTTTGTGGTGCTGTACGACGCTGAAATCAGTTTTGTCCGCCAGCTGGAGATCTACAAAGCTAGCCGGCCCGGAAAGATGCTGAGGGTGTATTTCCTTATCTATGGAGGCTCGACGGAAGAACAGAAGTACCTGACGGCGCTGTCGAAGGAAAAGAAAGCCTTTGAACATCTGATCAGGTCAGAACCATTTCCTTCTCCTCAAGTACCATATGAGTATCTGTTGATGTGTGTCAGCTTCTGATTGGTGCTTGTATGTGTGTTTCTCTGCAGGGAAAAGGCAACTATGGTTATCCCAGAAGAGAGGGAGGGGCGACAAGACACTAATTTGGACCTTGCTAGAAACTTAGACCCCGCCAATGCCACCACCAACACCTGCAATGCAGGCATGTCTATTTAACTCATTATTTAAAGGTTTAAATTTGCTCTGTTTTTTGTTCTCTTTAAATTTCCTGAACAGTGTCCCAAGTTTTCTAGAATAACTGTCTCATTATTTTGTGTTTCCATGTCCTGTCCAATAATCAGGAGGCCAGGAGCAGCCCAAAGAGCCCTCACGAGTCATTGTGGACATGCGGGAGTTCCGCAGTGAACTGCCTTCCCTGCTGCACCGTCGTGGGCTGGACATTGAGCCCGTCACCCTGGAAGTAGGTGACTACATCCTCACCCCGGACACATGTGTGGAGCGCAAGAGTGTCAGCGATCTGATCGGCTCATTGCAGAGCGGCCGCCTCTACACCCAGTGTCTCTCCATGACGCGCTACTACAGAAAACCAGTGCTTCTCATCGAGTTTGACCCAGCGAAACCATTTTCCTTAATGGCCCGATCGGATTTCCGTCATGAAATATCGTCCAACGACATTTCTTCAAAACTCACCTTACTCACCTTGCATTTCCCTCGGCTCCGTATACTCTGGTGCCCGTCCCCACACGCCACAGCTGAGCTCTTCCTGGAACTGAAGAAAGGTCGCCTCGAGCCCGACGCCGCAGCAGCTCAGGCAGTCACAGCCGAGTCAGACACAGTGGCTGAATCGGCAGACCTCTACAACCCCGGACCTTATGACTTCCTATTGAAAATGCCTGGGGTCAATACGAAAAACTGTAGGGCACTTATAAAAAGTGCAGACAGCCTGGCAGATTTAGCCAAATTCAGCCAGGAGACGCTGGCAGAAATACTCGAGAATGCTACCAACGCTAAGCTGCTGTATGAGTTTCTGCATAATGTCGCCGACGTCTCTGCTCCTGTGCAGAAGGCCAAACAGACATGATAGACAGTTAACAAATTTCCCCTGGAGGGGTTAATGAGGTGTGCTTTCACCTTCATCTGACTTATGTATGTAAGTACATATTAGTTTTGCATTATAAAGTTAAGATGGCAATGGTGCTACTGTAGAACGATGCAGACTGAATTCATGTGTTACATTTGTACAGTACAAGATTTTGTCATCAAAAGTGAAATATGTATTATATTAATGTACAGAATGAACTGCTTTTTCTATTGTAATGTCTAGGTTATTCTGAAAATTTAACATTTGTGAGATCTTTTTAAATATTGTGGCGAAAAATAATAAAGTCCTTAAATATTTTAGAACTGTTCTGTAATTGTTTTGATTGAATTTGAAATAATTAAAAGAAAGACAAAGCTGGCAGCACCATATACTCTAGTCACTGTTAGTCAGAGGTGGAAAAAATGCTCAAATACCAAAAAATGAATGGTACTTTATGTATTTAAGATCAAGATGTCTTTTGCAGGAAAGACCTGGGTAAAGCGGACAGAGAGAAAAACAAACAAAGGGACAAATGCATACAAACAAAAAACACACATAACATACATAATTACTAATAATAATCCAGCCTTATAATATGTATAAATCTGAATGTCATTGTCACTGATTGTCATTCTGCACAATGAGTACTTTCACTTGCAAAACCTAATTTTCATAATACTACTACTTTTACTTTAGGAGTTTGAATGCAGAGCTTTCACTAGTATTGCTACTTTTATAAAGTAAAAGATCTCAATACATTTTTCACCACTACATATGGGGTGTTTAGTTGCACAAAAAATGTCAAATAAGTCCAGAGTGTCAACAAGTGCAGCTGTCCATTAAAAGTTCAGAAGTAAAATGTGCATCGGCACAGATTTCAGGGGGCACACTGGGGACTTGTCTCCCTCAATGTTTAAAACATGCATTTGTCCAACCGCACTACAAACATAAGTAAGGTGGAACTCCAAACCTCTCATTTTAAGTTGAAACATAACTTACGCCGTTGAAAAAGTATATTTGGATTCCTACTTTTTGTCCACAACAGTTTCAAGTCTTGGAAAATGGATCTCTATCTCTACAAATACCAGTGCTTCATACTAACACTTACAGTCTTTTAGTAACTCTAATTTGCCTTTTGCCTTCTTTTACCTTGTCTGTTATTTTCCACAGTCGTCCTTTATGAGGTAATCTATTGAACTACAGTTGAATCATCACTCTCAGAGCATGATGTTCTTGTTCTCGGGCTCTGATGCAATCCATCAGTATGAAACACTTTCCTCATGGCAAGTGGTTAGTCAGTGCAGCTCACAGGAGTGATCTGGCTTCACACGTACGCTTTTACTTAATATAAACAGGGCAGTAGTAACAGTTTTTCCTGCATATTTAGTTTTAATAATGAGAAAAATCTTATAACCCATTTTATCCCCTAACAGAGGTTTGGTATAGTTTAACTATGAATCATAATGTGATTTCGTACATGCTGACCGGTAAAAGAGAGCAGCGATCCTTCCGCTGCGCCCCCCAAGGCTTCCAGCGTCATGACGTCACTCTGCATCCGAGGCTAGACCAGTCGCAGCCATTTTACTCCGCGAAATAAACTTCAATCTCACAGCTAGAGGAAACAACAAAATACACAACCTAATTCCGCTGACATTATGGAAATTTCACTGTGAACCGGAGCACGGACGGATTCGGGTTTCACCTCTTCTCATTTCGGTAAGACCACAGAGCCGGGGCGGCGCTGTCTTGTTTTTAGCATGTTAGCCTGTGTTAGCTAACCCGAGCTAACTAGCGAAACTGTGAGGAGGTTGTTGTTGAGGAGCTTTTGTGATATGCGGACAGAGGCAGCAGGCGAGGCTCGGTAAGACTGCACCGCAACGCATGGACAACGAAGGTTTGACTGTAATTAACCATAAGATATATAGTTTAGTCCCAGGAATGGTGGCTACGGACGCGGTAGGTTGTCATTTATGACTGGCACTGTCCGCAGCGCACTCACCTGTCAGATTTAAAGTAGCTAGCCAGCGTTAGCTTATCCCACACCCACCCGCCTCCACCACTGCGATAACAGTGGCTGTGGTGGATCCGACAGCCATGTCAGCCAATAATACTAATATAGATAAACGTATTCTCGCTATTTAAACAAGTAAGTTGTCAAGTCATTGTTTGTGAGTATGGTGTTTGTGCGCTGAATGTTTATCTCAGCCATTTCCTCTTGAGCCAGGATGCTCTCTGAATGCTGGGGCATGGCAAGCAGTATTGTGAGTTGGCACCCCTGTTACTCAAGTAATACTATCCACGCACGCGGTGTAATGAGGCCCCCTCGCGCTTACACAAACCCGATGATGTTATCTTATTGCCTGCCAATCGATTGAAGCGAGCAAAGTGAGGTAGTGCTGCAGCAAATCCAAACAGGTCGCGGTGTGTGTGAGTCATACAGACAGGCAGGATGTGGTGATTTCAGAGGCGGCCCCATCCAGTCACAGTCTGTATCTGAAAAGTGTGAATTATTAGCGTTAACTTAAACACTGAACTCGTGGTAGGATGGGAAAGTAATTATCCCAAGGCTGTAGGCCATATATCCCTGCGTGTTTTGCTTATTCCAGCCCCCCAGTGCAGTATTAGTTTGCAGGGAGACTGTCTGCTCAGATCACCTCAGACAAGGGTTTCCATGTCTCTCCCTGCAGTGAATTAAATTAAAATGAAACCAAATATCACAGTGTAGGTAGATGTGCTTGCATTTTATAGTACCTGATTTTTGTCCACTAATTTTAGATTGGTTCTCCCCTTACAGTGATTCCTGCAAACCACACTCCTTTGACTTGCAGGAGTAATTAGTACTGACATGCTAGAGTTATCTTCCCACAGAGAAGCTCGCCACACGAGGCAGTTCATTCACATTTGTTTTAGTTTCTCAGAAACTTCTTTATATAACCAGCCTACATAACCCTAATTATAGGGCACACTTGCTGTAAGTTTGGCTGTAATGGCCTTTCTTTTCATAGGTGAGACAGTCCAGCGGTGTTTGGCCTCCAGCCATTGATCCTTTTGTACCGCTTTTTTAGAAGACCCTTTCAGCAGAGTCCACAAAGGCAGCCACAGGAAGGAAACGACCCCACATGTGTGTCTGTGGGAACAGAGCAGAACAGTGACTGGAGTGAATGAGCCACAGTGATGACATCATCTCTGTCTTATCTCTGGATAAAAGAAGACGTTATTGTTGGAACCAGACACTGTCTATTTAGGGCCCAGAAAACTGCAGACTCAGACTGTAGTTTGGTATGGACCAGTTCTCATGCTGCGTTCGTGTGTGTGTATGGTACATTCCATTGGCATCTCTTAGAATTAATGGCATATAGGGCTAGGTGATATAAGCAGTAGCCTTATTACACAACATAGCAAGCAAGATCTTGTTAGATAAGGTGGTGTTCATCGGCTTAAGCTGCATAATGATATGTATAATCATGCCGGTTTCCCCTGATTTCATTTTCTGAGATGTTACCCAGCAGGTCTTTGTTTTCTAAGGCGGTTCCCGGTCATCCAGGACACAGGATATCTAGTTTTCAGACAAAGCCTCGACAGGATGGGAGACCTTTTGTTTTTTACAGTTGTGCTGTGTAATGGTTTCATCACATTTTTCTTTCATAGACAATTGCCAGTGGTGTTTTTATGTCCTTTAACTGAAAACATACCCCCAAGACAGTTTATGGTTTATTTACTCTGAGACCAAGGCTGCAGTTTTCAGCTATCACATGCTGTCAGTTGAGTGAATGTGTGAGTGTTTATATGTGTGTGTGAGTGCCGTGTGAAGGCTTCACAGCCAGACCTATTTGTAGTAAAGTTGACCTATGACCTGGTATGCACAGATTGCGAAGTGGTGGTATCTCTGTGTCTGCTGCTGTTGTGGATACACAGCGCTGTAGTTGTGTTTGTTACTACTGAATGGCTGCAAAATTATTGATTTGCTGATTGTTTTTGCTCAAAGTAGGATTATGAAATAGTAGGTTCCACATTGTTTCACATCTTGACTCCACACCCACAAAAGAGGTTGTATGTTTTTTGTTGTTGTTAATTTTTATTTATTTTTTTAGTTCAATCCCATCAGCCAACAATTAAGACAATCAGGAAGATGTTTGCCGTCGAAGGTCATAAAGCTTCTCACCTGCGCTGCATATGGCTTTATATGGTTGTGTGAGAAGAAGAACAGCCTCGGGGGCGGACACACCCAGAAACTGTCGTCATACTACTAAATTGTTGACATAATAGATTACCTAGTTAAACTCTGAACTTCTAGTGCTGCAGATAATAGAACACAGATGAAACCTGAAACCAGTTTTTGTTTTTTTGTTAGCCTAATTATAGAATCCTCCCTGATGAATTTAGCTGGATCCGAGACGCTAGCATTGCATTATGCTCCACAGTTAGCCTTGGGCATGTTGAGGAATATCTACAAACCACATTCATTGTCTTACTGCACAACAATGAGGTCACATGCAGGTGCAACCACACTCGAGCATGTGTACTCACTCAACAAAGAAATCCCAAAAGTATTAGATATAAAGCAAAGGGATTGTCAGAATTGTCCTAAATTTACTTTCCTCAACTTTGACAACTTCTAATTCTAACCCGATGATTGCCTGATGTTTAAAACTATTCACAATCTCGCACCCTCTCCTGCTAGAGGATGCCTGGCCTATCAAGGCAGTGGCAGTAGGACCAGAGCGTCTGCTAGGGGTGGCTGGGTACTGAAGTTCAGAAAGGCCTCCTTTGGTCAATCTGCTTTCCTGGTAAATATAGGTGGCATAATGGCATGAAATTCCTACCTTGAAGAGGCAGTGTAAAAGGGGCGATTGAAGACTCTGTAAGCCAACCTTAAACTCCGGCTTAAGTCAGCACAAAAGTGTCATCAACAGTATTTGCCTCTACATATTGTATATCATACTGGCTTTTATTTATTTTATTTTATTTTTTTACAGTGTTGGACTTTTATTTATTGTGCTGTCTAATGTGTTGTATTTACTGCTCTGTTGTTTATATACACTTGGCAAAGGACAACAGATTAGCTGCAAGCTAACTCTAGTGAAATTATTTTTAATCGTGTGCTGTCCTTGCAAAAATAAACAATAAATAGAATAAATCAAACTGAAGTCTGTTGGGTAATGGCAGTGTTATTGTCCCATAAATAAAGCGTCTCATTGAGAAGTCTCTAACAGCGATGTATTTTTAGCTACTCCAGTGAGAGTACAGGCATCAGTAGATGGCATTGTTAGTTTGTTGGGTCTTTTGTTTCAGTATCTAGCAG